GCTGGGCACGGACGGGCAGCGGCGCCCCCTCCCCATCAGCGCAGGCTCCCTGTGGAGCTGCGGCTCCGCAGAAATACGTGGGGGCGGGGGAGCACAGCGGGCTCGGTTGTCAGGCAGCCTCGATTTCTATTGGCTGGGACGCTGTCTCCAGGCCCTCAGCCAGCCAATGGGAGCCAGACACATGGATTCCAGCTGCATCCTCTTCTCCCCCCTCCCTCCCTCTGCTGGGGCAGCCAGGTAGGCTGCCTGGAGACAAAGCTGGGAGGGGGAGTGAGCTCCCACCTACGTAGTAGGTGCTTCACTGTGGACCCAGCCGTGATGAAGGCAGAGAGCGGGGCAGAGCCCCTCGGCCTCGGCCTGCCTTTGTAGCTTTACATCCCGGCGACCCAGGGCAAGCCGGGCAACCTCCCAGAGCCTCAGTTTCCCCGTTCAATCCGGAAACGTTTGTCAAGCCTCAGGCCGGGCGCTGATAAGTGGGGACCCCAGCTGTGCTGGGAGGGCAGCTGGTTATTTTGTAATTAATAACAGGAACCAGCTTTTCTATCTCCAGTGATCCTCACAACCACCCTGGGGGCGGGGAGGGGCTGTTATCATCCCCATTTTACCGAGGAGAAAACTAGAGGCAAACAGGTGGAATGACTGGCCTCAGGTCAAGCAGCAAAATAAGTGTCAGAGGCTGGATTTGAACCCAAGGCTTCCTGATGCCCAAGTCCAGCCGCCTCCCCACTCCACCTAAAAGCCCTGGCAGGCCAGTGTGACCACAACAGAGAGTGCATTCAGTGCAACAGGGAAAAAGACTGGAAACGTCCCTCAGTGGAAGCCAGATGGTGGAGGGCTGAAAATGCCCCAGACTGGGGAAGCTTTTTCCTATCCTAGAGGCAGACATTGATGATGGGTGGCTAAGGCTGGGGGTGTTTGGACCTAAGCCTCAGGGAAATCCTTCCAGAAACTACAGAGAAGAGCTTGGAGTTGAGGCCGGGAGACCCATTAGGACGCGATTGCGCGGTAGGGGGAGGGCGACTCATCTGTCGGGGTGAACCCTGGACTGGAAGCCTCCCCCAAGTGCCTCCTGAAGCTAAGGAGCCCTTTGGAAACCCAGCAGTCAGTCAATCCACTTGGCTCTGGGGTGGGTGAAGTTCAAGGCTGTTAAGAGCTATGACTTCACATCTTGCTCTTGTCACTCAAGAAACCTCTATCTGCTGCCTAAGGAAACCTGTCCCTTTAGCAGAGAACAGAGCCTCAACGGTCAGGAGGTGGCATGAATCCACTGGGCTTCCCTCCATGCCTGGCCGCTGCCTGGCCTGCCCTCTGAGCAGACTGTTGCATTTTGGTCCCCAAAGAGGTGGGCCCTTAACCCTTTGCTTTGATAGGACCGGGCAGGCACGGAGGCTCTGCCTTGGGCAGGCCAAGCACTCACCAGCAGTCGCCTTTTCATTGGTCCAGACAAGGTTCTTGGCCTTCACCACCACCACAGTGAGTCGCTCTGCGGTGGGCAGGTAGCTCAGAGAGAGCAAGATTTCACCCACCGAATCGGAGACCTGGAAACACACAGAGCGTCCTGATGGGCCTGGGAGGCTTCATTTTCAAAGGCCGTTTGGAGTTTCCCTCTGGGAGATCCTGCGCCTGGCAGCCCTCAGGTGGGGCACGCCCCACAGGGCCTAGTATATCCAGCCAGAGCACAGCATCCTCCCCAGCTCCAACAAGGCAGGGAAAGCCTGAATGAATGAACGAGGCGCGGTGTGTTCTTACAGAAATGCCGTTTGATTGCTTAGGGATCTAACCAGTGATGTGAACTAGCCAACAGAGAGGTCTAGTGGTCTGCTTTTAGAGAGTAGATAGAAATAGCTGCTGTTGATAGAGGCTTTCAAAGCACTCATTGGATCCTTGCAACCCTGGGAAGGAGGTGCTGTTATTATCCTGTTTACTGATGAGGAAACTGAGTCTGAGCAGTTGACTTGCCTAGGGTCACTCAGCTCAGGAGCATTTGGGAGCAGGTTTTCAAAGTCAGCTCTCTTAACTGCGGGTCGCCCGGCTGCAGAAAGCAGTTCATGTGTTGTAAACAGGCCCTTTCTTCCTCAATAGCTTCAAAATTTTGCGCCCCGCCTCCCTCCCAGGCTTCTGTGGATGGTGGAGGATGCTCTGGGAGGCAGCTCCTCTGGGCTGACCCTTGAAGCTCTGGGAGGAAACCCTTTCTGGGCACTCAGATTCTCAACTCTTCCGCCATTGGGCCCCCACCCTCACCCCTCTCACGCCCAAGGCCCAGGCCTGCCCGCCTGCCGGAAAGCCCCTCACCTTGTTGACATCCTGCAGGTAGAGCCAGCCACAGAAGGGCTGCTGGGGCAGCTCTAGGACAGACAGCTTCAAGTCAACCACGCCAGTCATGACGTTGCGGTCATCGTCATCAATGCCATAGACAGAAAAGCGCAAGCTGCTTTCCTCCAGGACGGAGGGGTCCACCGTGATGGAAAACTTCTCATCAAAGAAAATGGAGTATGCAGTGCGCTGGATCTACAGAGAGTCAGGAAGAAAGCAGAAGTGAGCTCCAGCACCGCCCTGGGAGCCCCATTTTACAGATGACGAAACCAAAACTCTGAGGGGATAGTGACTCGAGTAGGGCTGTGTGTTTGCTAGGGGTCAGAGGTGGAATCTGAACTCGGGTGTCCCTGACTCCAAGTCCAATACCCACTGGGTAATAGGAGCACAGGTCATAGGAGCGAGATCCAGTCCCATGCCCTCCTCATACAGGAGGACTTGGGAGCCAGGGCACTGAAGGGACTTGCCATGGTAGGAAGCTTACACCACACTGCCTCTCAGATGGGGAGGGAGAAGCGGACATCCTGGATCTGAAGGTCGAGGGTCTGGTTTGGGAGCTGCCCGGGCACTTAGCGAAAGTGAATGAAGGGATACCGATGCAAAAGCAGAACTGACCCTGCCCCAGGACCTGACATTCTAATAGGAAAGGGATCAGTGGCCAGGGGAAGGCTAGCCTGTCCGAGAAGAGACGAGGGAATGGCAAGGCAAGCCGCTGGGGAAATAAATATCTCCTTCCAGAAGCTCAGTAACTGAAAAAAGTCTGCAGAATGGAAGAGTTAGATTGAATGAGCTCTCTCAGGTCAGATCCTGCCCTTAGCTTGGCACATAGTAGATGCTTCACCCAGGCTTGGTAACTGCCTTGACCTGCCAAAAAGCAAGGTCCCCTCGGGAGCTAAATCCCGTGCTCCCTACTGTTAATCAGATTCTGCCTGATTCAGAGTTCAGGGAAGACCGGAGTTGAGGGGGCTTGAACGAAGGTGGCCATGATGTGAATGGAGAAGAGAGATGTGGAGGGTGGACTGACCGATTGGATATAAAGGGTGAGGGAGGGGAAGAGTCAGAGTTGACTGCAAGGTGGCAAAGAGGTCACTGGATGGATGGATGGTAGTGATCTTTTTTTTTGCTAGGCAATGGGGTTAAGTGACTTGCCCAGGGTCACACAGCTAGTAAGTGTCAAGTGTTTGGTCTGAGGCCGGATTTGAACTCAGGTCCTCCTGAATCCAGGGCCGGTGCTCTATCCACTGCGCCACCTAGCTGCCCCGATGGTAGTGATCTTAACAGAAATCAGGAGAGCCTTGAATGCCAGGAAAGTCCTTTGGACATTCCTCTGCTGCCAGCTGTAGGGAGCTGTTGAAGATTTTTGACATGTCCAGACCTTTCCCCATTGCAGGGTGAATTGCAAAGTGTTACATAGATGCGGTTGTGGTGGTCCCCCTGCAAGGGAATGGAGGCCAGTCTTTATCAGCTCCTTCCCTCCTGCTCTCTGTTCCCAACTATCCCAACCTCAGATGGGACCATGGTGACGAATGGTGGCCAGCCCACTCTGCTAGAAGGACTAGACCAGGGCTTCTTCACCTCTCTGGTTTTCTGGACCCCCTCTCAAAAGAAGGTCTTTGAATAACTGAAGGAAATGCTAAGTTTCAGCTCGAGCTTGGTGAAAGTCAAGAATTCCTTCCCCCTACCTCGCCCCGAATCTTGTCTGCTGAATGAGGCAAGTCTTTCTCCACACCCAGCTCTTGTGATGCTTGGAGACAGCCCGCAGAGTGGACACGACGTCCGCCCTGGGTCTCCTCGCCTGCCAGCCCTTCCCCATCCTGGCTGTCTCCCCTGGATGCTCTGCCACTGATCGCCGTCACCCAGGCCGCCCCACGAGGACACGGGACGTGCTGACATCTAGGTCGAGCCCCACGCGGAGCCAGATCACGGGATTCCCTTCGGCTGCCTCAGTCTCATCCAGTTTGACTCAGACGGAGTGAATGAATGAGAAGCGTTGTGCTGAGCACAGTCCCTCCCTGTTCCGAGCTGCAGTCCTCTCACTTTGCCAGGCCTCTTCTCCCCTCCAAGAGAGCTTTACTAACCTCTCCTTCGTGTTTGGACTTGGCTGGCCGTCCTCCGTTCGTCCAGAGCCTTTGTTCTGGGCCACACCTAGACTTTTGGCCCCTGCTCTGGCTTCCCTCTTTTGGGCACGTTTTCAGAGAGCCTCCTATGCATCCACACCATTCTCTTCAGACAACACCCTCTTTCTCTCTCATTAGGAATTTCTTGTAGTGCCTTGAGAGCAGGATCTTCCCTCCTTCCTGGCCTGACTTCCTCTGTAAAGAACTGGCCATGGGGTCCTACCCGTCCCTGAACCTGGGTCCCTGTCACATTTTGCTCCATTTTCCTCTCTTCTGACCCAGCTGGGAGGAAGGGGTCATTTTCCCTCAAGACTTGTTCTGAGCCTTTCCACCCTAGCAACTTCTCCAAAATCAGATCCAGAACTCCCTAGTTGGTTTTTCTGCTTTTGAAGGATGAAACTATCATGAAGCCAAACCATGAAATTCTTAGCTTCTGTGTTTGGGGCAGAAGTCCAGACAGTGGCAACCCTTCCCACACGATGCTGATTGGCTCATCACAACTATAGCCTGACTGTCTCAGATTTATCATCTGATCCCTGAATACATCATTTTATTCCTCCTTCCAGCCAGGCAGTCCACAGTCTACTCCAGTGACATTTCTATATCTGACTCCATTGATCTTCCAATCCAATGAACTACTAATGAATTATTAAGCACCTACTATGTGCTAGGCACTGTGCTGAGTACTGGGGATTTTCTTGGAAAAGATCCTGGAGCGGTTTGCCATTTCCTTCTCCAGTTCATTTTATAGATGAGGAACTGAGGCAAACAGGGTGAAGTGACATGCTCGGGGTCACACCACTACAAAGAATCTGAGACTAGATTTGAACTCAGGAAGACGAGGCTTCCTGATTCCAGGTGTGATGCTCTTTCTACTACAGCGCCACCTAGCTGCCTTACAACAACAAAATGTTCTAGGCATTGTACTAAGTGCTGGGAATACAGTTAATAAAAAGAAAGGCAGCTCCTGCCCTCAAGGAGCTTACAGTCTGAAGGGGAAACAACACACAAAAAGATGGAGAACACCAAAGGGTGCCTGGTCCGGGGCACCTTCTCCCTTGGAGCTGAAATCGGGCAGAGTACCAAATGCAATGTGGAGTAACCTTTAGCCTGGACATTTAACTCTTAACACTTTCTTATTTCCTCCCTCTGCTTTGATTTAATTCAATTAAATAAGACATGACTGAGCACCTACTATGTGCCGGGCACAATTGAGGACAAACACCAAAGCGCCTGTCCTCAGGGAGCTTACTTTCTAGTGATCCCTGGACTTCCTCCTAGGGGTCCGTAATGATCATCTCCCAGTACAGATGTCTGTCCAGCCCCATATTCCAGTGGCGGGTCTCAGCGATACACACATATGAGGCCGGCTTCGCCGCCCCTCCTTGCTCCACACCCACTCATTGTGCATAACTAGCCTGGGCCATGCCTTTCACTGCTGGCTACCCTCTTGGAACTGCCTTCTGGGAATCTCTGGGTGTCTCAGCTGCTCTGTCTTCCTCCCTTACAGCCTCTCTCTGTGGAACAGACCTTGGTGGGTGAACATGAAGCGGCCTTCTCCTTCCCCTCCCCTTCTCAATGGAAGCCATCCATTAAAGTTGCAGGATGCCAGGTAAGTACATATTTGCACACGTGTCTATAGAAGCTGAAGAAAATGAGAAGGGAAAGAGCTTGACCCTGGTGGTGCCATGGCCAGCAAGGGCTGGAGCTGGCCCCAGAGGCTGAGTGTCCTCTGTCCCCGGGCCACAGGCGGCTTCTCTCTTGGCCCACCCAAGGTCAAGGAGCTTCCTGGGCCTCCCCTTCCTCCCCCTGACCCTCACAACAACTGGGGCCTTCTAGGAACATTGTTTGTCAGCCCTTCCAGGATAGGGCATCTACAAACTTAGGGGTCATCTAGGTGATCCAATGAACTGTTCAGCAGATTGGCCCCAAAGTCCAATCCCTTGGGCCCTCCCCTGGGGACCTGTTCACCAGCTGGAAAGGACCTTGTAGACCTCCACTCAGTCCAAGCACCTTGTTTTACCCTGAGGCCCAGGAGGGACTGATGGGCCCCTCACCACCCCCATCCTGTTCTGTCCTCACCTCCCTTCCTGTCCGCCAGAAGAGCGTCAGAGACTTGAAATCTGGGTGAACTGTCTCGACAAAGTTGCCCTAGTCTGTAAGTCTAGACAACATTCAAAAAGGAAATGAGGGCATGCGCCATGCTGGTGTCTGGCAGTTCTCTGATCAGTGCCCACGTCAGAAAGCATTTATTAAGCACCTTCTGCATCCCAGGCACTCTGCAAAGTGCTAGCAATGTTAAAGAGACACAAATAGCCCCTGCCCTCAAGAAGTTCACAGTCTAATGATTCATCAGATAGCCTAGCATTTGGCCAGGTATCAAAACCCTGGTTCAACTTAATGTTGAACTGGGTGACCTTTGGCCAGTCCCATAACTTCTCTGCGGCCTCAGTTTCCTCCCTTCCAGCCCTAAGAACGACAGTCCTCAAGTGCCCTGGCTTCCAGTGGTTGGACTCTATTCTCTTCCCCTTGCTGAAGCCTGGGGTAACCCTGCCTGGCAGTGCTCCTGGGCTCTGTCCTCATTTTTCATCATCTCTCCCTGATTCAACCATAGCTCAGAATGAGCTTGCGCTCCTCAGATTTTTCACTCACAGCACTGACAGGACCTCTCCTTGGTCCTGACCATATTCAACTTGTAATCCTACTTTCCTATAATAAGAATAATAACAGCAGCATTTACGTAGCACCTGCTATGTGCCAGGCACTGTGCTATGTGCTTTATAAATATTATCTCATCTTCACAACACCCCTGTGTGGTGCTATTATTATCTATATCTTATAGTTGGGGAAACTGAGGCAAAGTGATTTGCCTAGGGTCACATCCCTAGTCACTGTCTGAGGCTGGATTTGAACTCAGGGCTTCCTGGCTCCAAGCCCAGTGCTCTATACACTGTGGCGCCCCCCCCAATGTATTCTCATGAGATCATAAGCTTCTTGGTGAAGGTTGGACTGTTTAATGTTTAATGTTTAAACTCCTACTGTGTACTAGGTGCTGTGTCAGGTACAGAGGATACAAAACAAACCAAAAAAGAAACTGGCTCTGCCTTCGAGGACCTTACGGCCTAAAATGGGTACAAAAAGAAGTATCTACGGGTAACATGGAGAGGGAGAGCACCCAGATGGTGTCCGAAGGGCTCTGGGACGAAGGGCTCTGCCTCCTAAAGCCTCACCTGCCTCATCTGTGAAATGGGGAGAAAGCACCTCCCTCTTTGCCATAGAAGTGTGAACTTCATAATTAGTCAGGCGTTAGCCACATGCTGACCTGTACTTTTCCTTACAGGTTTGGGGATGGTCTCTCTCCTCAGGTAGCCAGCGAGCCTCCTGGACAGAGGAAAATGTCCTTCACCCTTTCTTCCCACAGCCCTCGCCCAACCCTGGGCCCCCAGCCGGCAATCACTGCTAAAGACTCGCCAGGCAGAGGATCCCTGGAAGGTCTGGCTTCTTGTCCCAAGGGCTGGGTGACTGAACAAGGGACCTCTGTGTAGTAATGCCTGCCCTGGGCCTCTCTCTGCTCTCCATCCCTAGGGCCGAGACCAAGCAGCAGAGGAGGATGCTGATCACATACGCTCCCCTGGGCTGCCAGCGCCCACCCTGCTCAGACTTGCCAAGGCCAATGTCAGCTCCCTCCTGGGGGCCTCCCCCGGCCTGGATCTGAGCCACAGAGCCATAGGAGCTGTCTTTGGAACTGGTGCCAAACCACGCACAAGGAGGAGTGACCAGGACTGAAAGGGTCAGGGGACATCTGGTCCTTCCTGTGGGACCAGGCGGGGTGGACAAGGGGACTGAAGTCCTACCCCTAGGGAGACCCCCGGAGGGTGCCGCCCACCTATGGACGTGAGGAGGGAGGAGGGAGATGGGTCAGGACCCTCCATAGGCAAAATGGCGGGTGCAGTGGGATGTCTTCCTTGCCCCCAGCTCTTTTGGCACCTAACCCATCCCTTGGGGGGGCCTATCCTCCCCCACCTACACCTAGGCAAACTTCATTTCCCTTTCAGGGTCTTGGCATCTTCCTCCAGAGAATGAGGAGGTCGGATCAGATGATCTGCTGCAGTCCCCTTCAATCCTGACGTTCTGGACTCTGTGTTCTCCGTGCTTCCCAGCTCTTAACGGCCTGCTGTCTTGTGTTCTAAGATCCTCTCCTGGTTCTGACATTCTGTGTTCTAAGGACCTTCTCACCTCTGACACTGTGTTTGAAGGTGACATTCTGTGTACTAAGGGCCCTCCCAGGCCTGATATTCTGTATTCTAGGGTCCATCCTAGTCCTGACAGTCTGTCTTTTAAGAGCCCTCCAAACCCTGACATTCTGTATACTAAGGTGACATTCTATGTTCTAAGGTCCCTCCCACCTCTGACAACTGTGTTCAAAGGTGACATTCTGTGTTCTAAGGGCCCTCCTAGAGTTGACATGCTATGTTCTAAGGTGAC